TTGTCTTCTCACATTAAAGGTAGAGCTCGCTCTGGGCCACTGAGGTGCTTCAAAACACATAAACACGTAAAATGGTTTGTTAAAAATGTTTAGCATGAATCAGAACTATATACATTTTGGCAATAGTTTTACAACTTTTTTTCCCTCAAAAAAGCTTATTTGTGAATGTCCAGGAGGCGCCCTTTTTAGAGGCAAAAATAGCTGTGAAACCAGTGCTATTAATAAGAGAATTGTCTTCCAAAAAAGTCTACGATTTGTTCTCCTGTATTTATAAAGTACAACTCGCTGATGAGAGGAATTTTCTCTTCAGACTATAGTCATCTCTTGCTGAAAGAAAACATGCTTTAGAAGAAAATACATTTGGTTTGTTTTAACTATTTTTGTTTATTGTTTGTTTTGTTTTGGTCTGTATGTTTTCTCCTCTCACATCACACAAGATTTTTTTTCTCTCCCTGTTCCCCAAAAAAGCTTTTTGCTAAGCATGTTCTTTCTAGAGCACTCATTACATTTTTCTGTAGAATAAAAAAAAAAAAAATAGTTTCAAAGAACTATCTTCTCTTTGGCACCAAACTATTTTTTTGTACTCTTCTTTGTACAGATTTGATCTACTTCATTGCAGGAGGGTGTCTCTTAGCTAGGTTCTCGTTAGGGAATTTACTCTTTCTGCTGCTTTATAGAGACAAATAGCTTTGATGATAAATACTTTAGAATACACATCTTACAAGTTCAGGAAAAGGCTATGTTAGGATGTCAATATTTTTCTTCTGACTAAAGAGCCTATTAAATGCACAGTACTATTTGTGCTTAAAATTTTAAACTCTGGTATTTTTGCTCATCAAGATTGGAGCATTAGCTACAAACGTTCACTGCTCCAATGAAAAGCAGTTCAGTAATGAACAGCCTGAAATTGGCTCTGTTGCATTTAGTTTGGTTTATAGGAATTGGAATAATAATGCTCTAAAAATGCATATTAAAATACCTGCTTATCTCTAACATCATTATTTCTTAAAGCAAACAATTTAGACAGAAAAGTCATTTGATAAAAATAATTGATTTGGACAAAATAATACTCACATTCTTCTGCCAGATAATGATTTAGCAGCTACTCTTACTTCAGTGGTACTTCATTAGACACAATTCTCATTCATCTGAAAGCCTTACAAAAAAATCCACATTTTTAATTCTTTAAAAATTACTTTATTTTTAAAGAAATGAACAAATACAGGAAAAGAGAATAAAATCCCTTACAGAATTTACTTGCTGTTATTCAGTTCTTTAAAAAATTTCTTAAGAGACAGAAATGTCATATGCTTAGTTTCAGGACAAAGGCACCTTTTTAAATGAAGGGCTTAAAGAAAATCGATGAAGAAGTTTGCTTAATAGAAAGCGGGCTAACTAAGCTTTTGGTTGTAAAAATTATCTATATTACAAAACAAGAACATAACTAATGTTTAGTGAACTTTAGAACTAATGTAAGGCTAGTCTTTAATAAAAAGTATCTTAAAAAAACAATTATGAGCAACTTCTGGAATTCACTTTGGGTAGCATGTCCAGGGGGTACATTGTTTTACTCTTTTTCTATGGTAGAGCCGATTTAACTTGGGAGTTAAGAAAACTTATGTAACTTCAGAATGTTTCCAGCTAGTGGTTTTATGTAGGACTAGTATTATGCAGTTAAAAACAAAAACAAAAACCTTATAGTCATACAATGTTAATTAACTCATTTAGCAATGTAGGTTGTTATTATTATGATTATTCTTTTGCTTGAAAAATGACCAAGCTATGTAGATCAGGAATCAAAATAATTCAGGTTCTTAGCAATGTTATAAAGTGTTCTTTTTAATAGTTTAGTAATTAATTAAAAGTCTCTTGCAGGTGATTCATTAATATTCATTTTTGTATTTTGAGACTTAAATATATTTAAATTTTCCTGATCATTAAATGCTTTTAGCTGCATATTGTGTTTAAGAAAAAAAAAATCTATTGTAAACGGGCTGAATTCATTTAAGAGAGTGTTTACATTTATATTTCTTTTTAATAAACAAAGTTGTTACATTTAATACATTGTAATTTTGCTAAAGTTGCAAGCATTTTGCTAAAATGTTTTATTTGGTAATGAAAACAATTTCATAAATATTAATAAATCTTCACTTTCTTTACTACTTTCTATCAATTTTTGATTCCTTTTAAAATACAAACATATTATTTATTTTTAATGGAATGAATAAATATATTTAGGATTCAAATTTCCTGTAATGAAACAGAGTTTAAAATCTTCAACAGGATAGTAAACTATTTACTTGGCTTCACTCTGTCTGTCTTCTATATGATTCGACAGAACTAAGTAGTGAAAACTAACCAAAACCAGAAATCAACTGAGAGAATATTCAAGAAAGAAAAAGGAAGAGTTGCAGGAAATGATATTTTCCCATCAGTGGATAGGCATGCATATATTAAAGACATAAAAGGCAGCACGGGGAGAAACAAAAGCTGTATACTGGGGATTCTGCAAGTCTGAATTAACTAAATGGAAAAAAAATGAAATCATTCTGCTTAAACTTGTTCACTAATAAAAGGAGAATTGCTTTTGTTAAATATGCTTGGTGTGATTATCAAGCAAAATTTTTTTTCTCCCAGACATCTATGAATAAAACATGCGTTTGAGCATTAGGTAAACAAACAATAAATGGATGAGTTCAGTTGCAACATAATAACATTTTATTTAGAAAACATATATAATCATATTTGTATTGGCAATCCAAATTTAATGACTTCTTTCAGTAAAATTAAAGTGCCTCACAAATAACATCTTATGCATAAGGATTGCTTATTCTTTGCCCAATTTTTCCTATTTTTTCAAAGAAACAGATTTTTAAGGTCTCTGCTGAACCATACATAAACCAGAGGAAGCACGATTTCTCAGAAAAATAAAATTTCTTTTGAGTCATCTTAATTTTATGTTACAGATCTTGTAAAAAAATTTTAAAATATATTTCTGGGACTGAGAGAGAAAACGTTCTCAAGGCTGCTATAGCTTGAGCTGATTTGAACAAGGCTCTGTATGCAGCTGAACCAGTCTTTGGCTTATTAGCCATTTCATTAACACGACATCTTCTGTAAACTATGAATGAGAATAAACCATTTACAATAAGGAAAGCAAACAACAGAATGAATTTCCTCTGTTGGTGTTTTATAAGACTGTTAAACAGAAAATGGAGGGAAGAACTCTCTTTAGACGATATCACTTAATTAAGTAAAGCATCCTAATCAGAGTCCCCTCCAATTGTAATGACTGTAGGGAGTCAAGTACATTTCTGTCTATATTAGAGTATCTAACTGCAATGATTTATTGATATTTATTTTAGAAGTACAACACAAAAGCAATAAAAGAGAAGAAGCAGGCAGAGAGGGAACATGCCATTGCTTACTGCAGGTACAATCAGAGCACTTCAGCAAAATTCCTGATTTTCTTGTGGGGGGGGGGTTTACTTTCTAAAATCAGAGCACACCTTTAGATGAGAATGGTCCTTTCCTGCATTTGACTTTTCCAAATATTCACTGTGACGTTTCTTTGTCCATTGGGTGAATCATTGATTCACTTTCTTCACTGCAAGAATCACTGCAAATGAGAGGATGAGCACCTGCTGTTTTCTGCAGTGACATTACTAGATGCATTCTACACTGATTTGAGTCTTAAAGTACAGCTTCTTTGTATGGGAGAGAGATCTGAGGAACGAGAGTAAATATACTGTATAGGCAGACAGACATTGGCCGCCCTCCAAGCTGCACACAGCATCAACCTGTTTATCTGCCACATTTCACAAACCTCAAAAACATGTGAATAAATCAGGCGAGCAACTGGATAAGTGATTCACACTAGGGAATCCAACCAATATTCTGATGAGAGGGTACTATAATGCTAAGACATTGGGGCAAATAGACTTGTAGAAACTGCACATAATAAAATTGATTAGTGGTTCAAAGGAGAAAATATTCTACACCAAAATGAATCTGAAGAGGTATCCCAACTCTGTGAACTTCTGTTGGATATTTATGTCCAAGTTATCTGGAGAGTGGGTTCAAAAATATACTGTCACCCATATTATTCCAATAATTGGGGCCAATGTGCATTTGGACTTCAAGTTAGTTATCAAAATACTTTATTTCTGGATACCTGGATCTAAATATCGGAGGCTAGTGCCTTGAAAGCCCCTAATTACACCAACACATATATTTGAAATTAAATTACCAAACACGCTTTGAACCTATTCACTTTGTGAAAGCAAACTTTTCTTAGAAAGTTACATCCTTATAATTGAAGATGAATTGCTTGGTAATAAGTGAATTATGCAAGCAAAGGCATAATTATTGCTACATGACTACTTTTTCTCTTACTTTCTGTTATTTCTAATTCATCTGCTGATCTTTTTAATGGTTATTGTGCCTCAGTATTTAGTTGTAAAATGCAAGTTCTCAAAGGTTTGGGGGCTAACCTCAAAAGTATGCTTTGGTCCTGAAGATCCCTTAAGATTGTTTATGAATTTCATGTTTGGATTATTTCCCTAAACTAGACCTGGTTATAGTCACAGCAAGATGAATTATCCATTTGCTTGTTATGTCTATTAGCTTCCAGTAGAGACCTACCATCTTACTAACGAGAAAATGTAGTTTTCTCTACATTTGCAAACACAAAATACTATTCCAGAGTGAAGAGGAATCAAATAAGGCATTCCATGACTTTGTTTCCTACACTGCAGAATAAAAAGGCAAATTGCTAAAACTTTTTGGCCCTGAAAAACCTTATTAGATTAGTAACCTAAGACATCATCATCTTAGCAACAGGAAGTCATGGAAAAGGTAGGTGGCCCGGAAATTTTGGCAGGTTCAAGATTCTTGGTTAAAGACTTGCCTCCAAAGAGCCTGTTTGAATCTATTGACAATTGTATCTACCAATTTTTTTTTTCCTTGACGTTTTCTCATCTTTTTGCTTCTTGTCTCAGGTTGTTTCTTCAGGATCAGGCACAGAGACTGACTGAATGGCTCCAATGATCAGGATTTGAAAACCTAATATCAGAATCTGCTGTTTTGTGTAAGTTGGCCCTAAGCAGTCTCTTCTTTAGCAATAGGACACTTACACAATATGGGGGCATCTTCTTCACTTCTCCCTGACCTTGTAAAATATGACACAAACTTGTGGGCAGTCAAGAGTGATATTAAAATTGTTGGCAATTTCGGGGTGCCTGGTGACTAGTTGATTGAGTGTCCTACTTTGGCTCAGGTCATGATGTCACAGTTTGTGGGTTCAAGCCCTGCATCAGGCTCTGTGCTGACAGCTCAGAGCCTGGAGCCTGCTTTGAATTCTGTGTCTCCCTCTGTCTCTGCACCTCTCCCACTCACACTCTGTCTCTTTTTCTCTCAAAAATAAATAAACATTTAAAAAAATTATTGGCAATCTCATCAGTCTGAAGGCTAAACACATTGATTTTTATAATCCCAGAAAATTTTACCTAGTTTTCTAAATGTGTTGAATTTTTAATTTATGTCCACAAAGCTAAAGCTGGTTCTGTGAACCTCAATTAAAGCCAATCACAACCACAAAGAACTCTTTGGAAGAGTTTCCTTTTTCTTTTCTTTTCTCTTATTTTTTCTTTTCTTTTCTTTTGTGGTTTTATGGTTTTATTAACACAAATACAACATGCACAGAAGTTGTTTGTCTATTCATTTTCTTCACTGCACAGCCTGGCAATGGGATTGGTGACTCTGATGGCCAGCTCAGCTGCTCTTTCCACAATGGCTTTGCAGTTCTTGGAGGAGACATTGTGAGCCATCTGTGCACAGTAAGATATTATCGCACATCAGCAGCTCTTCAAGCTTCTTGATGTTGTGGACTAGGAACTTCTGGAAGCCACTGGGCAGCATGTGCTTTGCTTTCTTGTTGCTCCCATAACCAACGGTGGGCATCAGGATCTGGTCCGTGAATCTTCTGAGAACTCCATATTGTCAATGCCTCTAGGTTTCCACCAGTTGCACTTAATTTTGACTTATCTATGGTCTGTTTCCAGAAGAACTTCTTGCTCCTCTTTTTAACCATCTTGGGCTTCACAGGAGGTCTGAGGGCGGCCATGATCCCGAGTAGGAGATGGCTGCCACTTCCATGGGCAGGTCGAAGAAGGGCTGGAGGATTTTTAAAGTAGTGGCTTTTCTAAGTAAGAAACGATCACTAAATCTTGTGTAATCTGTACACCATAGGAACCTAAGAATTAATAGGTTTAATCATATTTTGTAATCAATATTTGTAATCATATTTGTAATCAATACAAACAGCATATAGAATTTTCAAAAAATTGTTTCTTGCTTCCTAGCCTCCCACAATCCCATTCTCTAGTAGTAGCCATTAATAATAATTTCTCGTATTTTTTAAAAAGTTCATCCATTTATTTTGAGAGAGAGAGAGGGAGAGGGGCAGAGAGAGAAGGAGAATCTCAAGCAGGCTCTGCACCACCAATGTTGGGCTTGAACCCACAAACTGTGAGACCATGGCCTGAGCTGAATTCAGGAGTCAGAAGCTTAACCGACTGATCCACCCAGGTACCCCAAGTTTCTCATATATTTTAAGAGGCTTTAAATTTTTTTCCCTTTCTTAATTAAGTAATCTCTACACTCAATGTGGGGCTTGAACTCACAACCCTGAGGTCAGGAATCACATGCTTTACCAATTGAACCAGCCAGGCACCCCAATTGATAGACTTTTACATTCATATGCAACCATGTGTTATTTTAAGTCACAAATAAATCCTATAATACATCTACTCTTCTGAGTTTGCTTTTATTTGATTAGCAGTGTTTTTGGCTATCATTCCATTCCCTACATAGGAGTCTATTTCATTCTTCTAGCAGCTGCACAGGATACCAAACAATATGCTATCATGGATATAACCATTCCCATATTGATGGACACTGAAGTTATTTTCTGTCTTTCTGTTTTTTCAAATAATACTTTAGCAAACATGTGCACATTTTTGTGTTTTTCTAAGTGTATTCATAGAATTAATTGCCTGAAGTGAAATTGCTATATAAAAACACACGTTCACAAGTTTTGAATGCTGTTGCCACCTTATTGGTACAACCAAAACATTGCACCAGTTTACTTTCCACTGAAAGTTTTTGAGAGGCAGGGATTTGGGGAACAGGTTTAGCTGAGTTCTGTGTGTTACATATCTGCCTGCCATTCCATCTCTTCAAACCTGATTAAACACAGTTGAGGGGCAGCAGGGATGGGTAGCGATGACCTAGTGCAGAGAGAGTGCCCCTATGACTTAGGAGCTGGGAGAGCAGTGATGGCTGGGGAGGGACAGCACCGGGGCACGGAGGGAGAGAGCTGGGAAGTATGGCTGCCCGTCAGTTTAGGAAAAGTCTGAGTTTTCACCAAGTCTCTTCGCTAGCAGCTTTCCAGACAAGTGAGGGGGCTGCAGAGCAGAATTAAGAGCCATTCACATAGACTGTCATAAAAATGGAAAAGAAGGTGAATTAGAACCATGTTACACAGACACACTCACACACACACACACACACACACACACACACACACACTTCTCTGTTCGGATTCCAGTCCAGGTGTGCATTCACCTTTACACCCTGTCTTGGGCTGGGTTGCTAGGGAAGGACTGTTCTCTGACATTCCTGGCTGATCGTCACCAGGCAGGAGTCCTCCAGGCTCCCTCTCTATTTTACCATTAAGCTTCTCTGCATGTGGATAACCCAGAAAACACACATGACATTGTCCTAGTTCCTGGATCTGAAGAGACATCCTCATCCTTGAAACTTCTACTCCTTATTCAATATTTTCATTTGGCCTGGCATTTTATAAGTCTCATTTTCATCCCTAAAATAGAAACTTAGAAGTGCCTCTTCATCTATACCCTAGATCTCAGCCTTTTAAATTGAGGGGTTACTTTAATGTTCTCGAGGTTATAGTTATACTAGGAAGTTTATTTTGTATTCAACATTAGCATGCTAGGTAGTATGGTAGGGGCTGTGGATGCTAAGATGAATGAGACACGGTTCTGCCTTCTAGAAGCTCATAAAATAATGAGGAGATAGCACAAACTAAAACACACACCACTCTTTGATAAATGTTAAAACAGAGGTATTTTTTTAAATTTTTAAATGTTTATTCATTTTTGAGAGAGAGACAGACAGAGTGTGACTGGGGGAAGGGCAGAGAGAGAGGGAGACACAGAATCCGAAGCAGGCTCCAGGGTCCGAGCTGTCAGCACAGAGCCTGATGCGGGGCTTGAACTCACAAACCATGAAATCATGACCTGAGCTGAAGTCAGATGCTCAACCAAGCCATGCAGGTGCCCCAAAACAGAGGTATTTAATCAAAATTATATGAAGTATCTGTATCCTGCAGATATACTTGTACACATACAAAAGGACACACAAGCCAGAGTTGTTCGCTGCAGACTGTTTGTGATACTAAGAGTTAAAAAAACATCCTGAGCATCTATCAACAAGGGCACTATATGGTTTAATAAGTGCTGTCTATGTACTGATATAGAGTAGTCTTCAGGAGCTATATATATGCATGTGTGTATGTGTGTGTGTGTGTGTGTGTGTGTGTGTATACATATATACATTTAATATATATACATATATATTAACGTTTATTTCTTTATTTATTTTGGGAGAAAAAAAAGAGAGCAGCATAAGCAGGGGACGGGCAGAGACAGAGGAGAGAGAGAATCTCAAGCAGGCTCCATGCAGTGAGTGCACAGCCCAATTCAGGGCTCAATTTTGTGAACCGTGAGATCATGATCTAAGCCAAAGTTGGACGCTTAACCTACTGAGCCACCCAGGTGCCCCTGGGATATATTTTTATATGAAAAAAGCAAGCTGCAGAACATGTATGTTGCCTCCCATATAAGAAATGTAGAAAAATAAGAATATGTATTAATGTTTGCTTGTATACGCATAAAAAGACCCCTTAAGTGGAAGACCCCTTAAGAAACCAATGCGGAGTACCTGGGTGGCTCAGTTGGTTAAGAGTCCTACCCTTGATATCGGCTCAGGGTTGTGAAACCGAGCCCTGCATCAGGCTCAGTGCTGAGCATGGAGGTTGCTTGGGATTCTCTCACTCCTTCTCTCTCTGCCTCTCCCCTGTTCTCTCTCTCTCTCTCTCTCTCTCTCTCTCAAAATAAATAAATAAACTTAAAAAAAATGAAAGCAATGGAAGTGCTAATCTATAGGGTGGGAGTGGGCATCAGGGATTACTGAGTGGATGGGAAAAGGAGGCGAAACAGATTCTCAGTGTATACCTTTTTATATCATTTTAAGTTTTGAACCATGTGAATGTATTATTTAAAATTATATTAAATAAATTTAAGTTATAAAATAAAATTCCCCCTCTCAGAGCTTTGAATTCTCTGAGGTCTTTGCAAATGCTTAGCTATGTTTACTTGGGATAAAGAACATTACAGCGGATTGGACAGGGAGGCTCTGAACACGAGAAAGAAGCCTTTTTAGAGACCACTGGATTTTTCTTACTACATTCTTAGACCCACTCTTCCATGAAAATGATTTGGAGCAGAATGAGGAAGAAGAATACCTTTCTCTACAAAGTTTTCAGAGATGGGATATCTTACAAACAGTATATCTGTCTGACACAGGAACAGTTTTAGAAGTAGATTTCATTCTTTAAATTTCCTGCAGGTAAGGCTGTTTAGAGTGGCCCCCTCTGGTTTATCATGATAGTTTTGTAGGAAAGACATGATTTGCCCATACCTTCAGTTGATCTGCTTAAGTCATAAAATGGAACAATGTGAAAATTTTCTTTAAGCTTTAAATAATGGCCTCATGCTGAGTTACAAATAAGAGAGATTGGCTGCCTTGCCACAGAAATGCTACTTTTCTTTGACAAGGATGTGGCTCTGTAAATTTTTCAGAACACCACATTCAGGTGAGTTGGAGAAAGATAGTGGGATAGAATTAGTTTTGAGAATTCTCTGGTCATTTCCATGAACTGAGATTATGCAGTTATGAAATAAGGAGGTAGAGAATAAATAACAAGAAAAACAATGTTGATGATGATTTCATGAGTATAAGAGACAGTGTTAGAAGTTTGTTGAAGAGTGATAGAATCATCACACAAGCCACACTGGGCCAGAAAAGGCCACGGGCGTTGAGGAGGGATTTTACTCCCCAATATATCTCAGCACCGATTCTCCTCGCCACTATTACCGCTACTATTACTGTCCCTGCCTTTTCAGTTCATTTTAGCCATTTTTGCCCATAAGACTACACCCAAGTGGTAAGCTCTGGTTACCTGGGAAGCTAGTGATAAGTGTGTGGAAACATGGAGGTGGGTGCCCATGAAGGCCAGTGACTCACCACCTTCCATTCACCAGTTTCTGTCATTTGCTCTTTCAGCTGGCTTCAAATCACTCCTGTGGAAAGGGTCTGAAAAATTTAGATTTCGATTTAGAACACATGAGCATGTTAAGGAAGCTATTGCCAGCAATCAGAGCCACTTGTGACATCACATCAATAAAAGGCATTCAGGTGAGAGACAATAATGACTATAGGTATTTAGCCCAAATGTATGTGAGTTTTAACTCTTTAAATGCATTTCCTTTAGCAGCTACTTGAAATACTTTATCAGTGAAAGTCTTGACTCAGCAAACATACGTGTAAGAACGTGGGTAAGTAGACTTATACACCTTAACAAAACGATGGCTTTATTTGTATTCCCTTTGTAATTAAAATTTTTAAAAAATATTTATTTTTGAGGGGGGCCACAGAGAGAGACGGAGACACAGAATCCAAAGCAGGCTCCAGACTCTGAGCTGTCAGCACAGAGCCCGACATGGTGCTCAAACCCACAAACTGAGAGATCATAACCTGAGCCAAAGTAGGATGCCCAACTGACTGAGCCATCCAGGTGCCCCACTCCCTTTGTAATTTTAACTAAATATTGCAGTAAGTGGTTCTGGTTTTAAATACTAAGTATACGGGCATTTATTACATACAATATGAAAATACTTCAGGGGTCTTATGATTAATGCCATAGTATTTAGGCACAGTTTATAGAGACTTTCAAAGACAAAAGGCCCAAGCAGATGATGAAACACATGAAAAAGATATATGTGTACAACCTGGGACTCAATCCAGACTTGCTCATATCATCCCAGGTCCAGCTCCTGGCTTATCAGGAATGTTCCCAAGCAAATATTCTCTGCACCTGGCCCAAGGTTGCCCTGTGGATTAATCTCTATGGTAGGGTTGACAGAGAAAATACAGCATGCCCAGCTAATTTTAATTTCAGATAAGTAAATAATAACTTACAGCCTAAATATGTGTCAAATATTGCATACAACATACATAAGGCAGACATATGCCCTAACTCCTATGTGCTTACCCTCTGAGGCAAGATACCTCGCAGGTTTGAAACCCTCAAATCCAGAATTTCAATCTAGCCTAATAGTTTGATTCTCCCTTTGGATACTGCCTCACCCTCTATTGTTTAGGCTTGCTTTCTCTAAATGGACCATTTTATTCATAGTGCATGTTTTCAAATATTTTAAACACTAGTAACTGGAGAGAGACATTAGCTACTTTGGAACAATTACAATAGAGTTTTAGAGAAAATTATAAAACTGACTTTATTCCCCACCTCCAGCCCCCACCCCACCAATTTTGATTTTTCAAAGGCATGTCTTTAGGATTTGATGCTAGATTTAAAAGGGTGGACAGATGTGGAATAAGATAGAAGGGCTCCTTTCAGACTAAGTTTGTACCCCTGGCTTATTATCTTGGAGTTGTGATAAAGATAGCTACTCAAAGATTTCATTTGCAGTTTTTGGACTCAAGTCAAACGCCACCACTACTAAAATCCAGCAACGAAGGAAATGGAATAGCAGCGTGGTAGAATAAATAAAAAATGTAGAGCTGGCAGATTTGGGATTGAAGCCTGGCTCTGGACCCGAACTAGCTGAAAGATCCCAGGAAAGTCCTTCAGTTTCCAGAAACCTCAGTTTACCCCCCAATAACATGGGGATCATAGGGCAACTATTAAGAGAGATACTGTGGATAGGAGTGATTTGGAAACTTTAAGCCCAGTCTAGATGTTTGCAGTGGTGATGATGATGATGATGATGATAAAAATGGTGGCCAAAAGATGTAAAGAGGCATTAGAGAAAGTCAGTTATTGAAGAGATACTTTAATTCAGATTCTGAAATGCTTACTTCCTACTCAGTTCACAATAATTATATACATAAGAGTATTGTTCTTATACAGGTTGGAAAAAGGAAAAACACCCAATAACACCAAAGTCAGTCCAATTCCATGTACTTTTGGAAGAAAGCTTACTAAAAGATTTTGAGTAAAAAAATGAGATGTTTAGGGTAGAAATATTTTATTTAAGATCACATCAAAAAATGGAAAACAGAAAGGCACACTGAGAAACACTTGTTTAAAGCCTTTTACTTTTATTTTGGGTCAACACTCATTCAACAACCAGCCTATTTATTTTGTAAGAGCCTCAGAAATATTTATTATTATTATTATTAATTATTATTATTATTATTATTATTATTATCTAACATAACAGCTGGGAGTGTTCAATACACAGAGAAGGCTTTCATGAGGTACCAAGTATAACCATTTGCCCAGTGGTAAAGCAGAGGGAGCAAAAGAAGAGATTTGACCAGAGGTCCTCTCCTTCCCTTTAGCACTTCCACTCCTCACTCAAAGAGAATGCTGAAGGCTACAGGAGGACTAAGCCATGAGGGCACTGGATGTCAACTTTGACTGAAGAGTATTCATCCTTGTTTAACTTTATCTCACTTTTATTTATTTATTTTTTAAAATTTATTTGTTTATTTATTTATTTATTAAGTTTATTAAGTTTATTAAATTTATCTGCACCTGTGTGCAAGCGGAGGAGGGACAGAGAGAATCCCAAGCAGGCTCTGTGCTGTCAGTACAGAGCTGGATGTGGGGCTCGAATCCACAAACTGTGAGATCGTGACCTGTGTTGAAATCAAAAGTTGGCTGCTCAGTGGACTGAGCCACCCAGACACCCCTAATTTTACTTCACTTTTAAATGCACAACCAATACATGTGTGTTACAGAAAATTAGAGAGTGTAGATAAGCAGAAAGGTGAATAATGTAACAGTCACCCCTAACTCTTCCCTACAGAAATTTAGAATACTCATTTGGGTTGCCCTACGTCCCCACATGTGCAATTAAACCATGAGGGATCAGAATTTATCCTACTTCGTCTGAACCCAGCAGAGAAGCCCTTTCAGGTGTTCTGCTCTGAGGGATTTCTTAACAAGTACATTTCAACCAAGGCTTAAAGTGGTATAGTAAGCATAAGCCCACTAATGTTATTCTGTAATGACAGGACAGGATAGAAATTAAGCCACTAGATTTAAAAATTACACTTCTCATACTCTCTTTATCTCCCTTTATAGAACTCCCTAAATTTCTGAACAAAAGAGAACACTTTCCTGCAGAGATTCAGAATATAAATGAGTGCTAAGAGTCTTTGACATCAAGGGTTCACCAAATCCTGAGCTCCATTTCCTACAGAGTCTCAAAGTGTTTTTCTGTCACTGACTTCCACACTTGGTCTTGAGTCTAAGTGAGATGGAGTCCCAGCTCTAGGCTAAAAATGTCCCCACCTCTAGAATTCAGAATCATCTAACCTTGCCTGAGACAAAGAGGGGCGGAGAGTCAAGTGGAAAAAGCACAGCTCACTTACAAGCCGTAGTGTTGGAGCAGAGCAGCGACTCAAGTACCTCAGGGTCAGTCACATTGGCCCCAGGCCCAGATTTCCATGGACTCATTTCTGGGTCCTGGAAGAGAGAGAGGACTGTGAATAGAAACTAGAAGACCCATTTTTACCCAAACCTCTTGAGACTTCAAAGAGCTAGCCAATATTACTTTGGTAACATCTGATGCAGAGAGAAAATGGAAAGGTATTCTCCATTGTGCCACAGACCTCTGAGCAGCATTGGCCCATCTGGTGCTCTAGGGGTTTGAGGTGGCACCCAGCATAAGTGCAGTGGTGGTGCCCAGAAGAGGGGTGGATGCCCTGGTGATAATGCAGAGGGCAGTGGTTCCCAGAGAGGCACCGGCATGGGGAAGCCCTGAAAAGCAGTGGGACCTAGCAGGGAGACAGCAGCATTAAGTTTAGAGTAGACATGGTTGTACCTGCAAAATGCAGTGGTACCTAACAGCATAAAAGCATAAAAATGGCATCTTCCACAGTAACTATAACCAAGCATAAGACACAATCCAAGGTTGTGTGCATGCGTGAGTGCGCGCGTGCACGCGTGTGTGTAAGAGGGCAAACTCTAGAGCGGGCTCCATTTTAGCTATCATACCTATTTCCTCTTCCCCAAAACCAGTCCCATAGGTTGTTACTAAAATAATAAAATGATGGTCTTTCCTGGCATTTGACTAGCTACTCATAGACTCAAAGTCTTCCTCAAAGCCTATAGAACTTGGATTGGATTCAGGCATCGCCACTTCCCACTCCAGAATTTCTGGGCTAATAGTACTATTTACCTTGTATGGTTGTTAGGAGGATTACAGTGTAGTACTTGAAAAAGGCTTAGAACAGCACTGGGTACATGTTAACCCTCCTCAGTATGAAGTCTAGTATGAATGCTGTCTAAATTTGCCTCCCAAACAGGCCCCATTTGCGACCTAGTGCATGGTGAGAGAGACTTACGGTTAACTTGTGACTCATAATTTACTAGCTGTAAGTCCTTAGACAAATTAATTGACTTCTTGGTAATGTGAAGTAATCCCACAAATATGAAGCACATTGTATGCCAGACATTGTACCAGGTGCTGTAGACCCACAGACAGACAGGCACCTTGAACACCACCTTGCTGCAAAGCACTCAATGCCTGGGGGTGGGAGGCAGGCAACTAAATACACAAAAATAATAGAGCTGTAAGGATAGCACACTTATCCGGCTTGAGTTAGATCAATAGTTAATAGATTAATCAAACAAGTCAATAAAGTGGAGAATCATTAAAAAAATGTTATCTACATGCTTTAATTGTTCTATTTCAACATAAACAGTTTAGAGGTTGCCAGGGAACCGGGAAGGGGAGAATGAGGAATGATTACTTAAGGAGTGTTTTTCTGGGGTGATGAGAAAGTTTTGAAACTAGAGAGACTTGATGGTTGCACAACATTGTGAATGCACTAAATGCCACTGAATTGTACACTTCAAGATGGTTAATTGCATGTTATGTGAATATCACCTCAATAAAATATTATATAAATGTACATTATTTTGCCAATCTTTCAATGTATGGCTAAGGACTCTTCTTGAGGTACGTGCCTAGAACTGAAGCCCCAGGTCATCTTTCTGGCATAAACCACACCCAGAAAATATACATTATATATTATTTCCAGTTTTAATTTCTTTAAACTGGGCATCATCTTCATCTTAAAAATATTATCCACCTAATTGCTTATAGTGTTACACACTATTTGTGGAGAATTACATAGATTTGATCACTGCATTTTAAAAGTTTACAGTCCAAGAAAGACTGATGCAGGCATGCATGCTTAAGATTCACCAGACGTACTGTACCAGTACATTTCCGAGAGCAGCCTGCTTGGTTCTGTGACTTCCTCCCTGCTTTCCCTCTTGACCCTTATTACCTTCCTGGCCCCATTACCATATTACCTTCCTGGCCCCCAGCACTGCCTCAGGTCCTCGACCACCCCCCATTGAATACCCTGCCCTTGATGAGTAGGGGTGGTGGGTGGCCCTGGTTTGAAGAGCTCACCAGCTCTCCCAGAGCCAGCCAGCTTGGAGTTGTGTTTGCAAACACAGGCCCCGACTGTGGCTGTCAGACCTCCCAGACACTATCTGCTGCCCATCTGTCACCACCATCTTCAGGTGCCGTGTTCATCTGGCTGGGCTGCCTACTACCACCCTCCACTGCAGCTGTCCCCAGTACCTGCCTCCCTGACACCACAAGAAAGCACATCTAGACTCCAGGAACAAATGATCCTTACCTGCCTCATTCCCACTGAAGATACATTACTCACAACAGCATATATTTAGTGAGTGCTCACTGTCATTCATTTAATTGTTGGCTCTTCCATTCCTGGCCATGACAAGGGATATGCTATAACCTACTCCTGAAAAGATTCGATGACACGTGTGGACAAATGTATTAGCACATTATCACTGGCATCAAAACTAATGCCCCCTGTGGACCCAGAACAGGCCTACAGGAGAGGAAAAAGCAGAAAACCTACCTGCCTCACTGCTTCTGTGCCAAGTCCAGGAATGGTGTTTGCCTTGCTACATCTGTAAGCCAGCAACAAAGGAGGAGGCCATTAGAGGTCAAGGTCTTGTCTTAAGAATATTCATTAAAATAAAGGCACTGACTTCATTCTTAGGCAGATTCTCATCCTGTGGAGTATCTAGTCCTTTTGACTAATATTTTTGTTCTTCTTGAGTCTGATCTGGATCTGTTCTAATGTGTTTCAGCTATGAGGGTAGTGGAAGTAAATTAAAAAGAAATTTAAATAGCTTCCCATCCCCTAAATTGGTTTCATACTAATATGACCCTAAATATGAAAGTTTTTGATGATCTGGCTACTGCAGTCATCCATATGAACTCTCTTACTGCTGACTGAGAGTTAATTATCATCAAATACCCATCCACTGAGGGTCAGTTACAAGTTGGGACAACTGTGGTGGATAATACAAATGTGGGGTGCCTGGGTGGCTCAGTCGGTTGGGCGGCCAACTTTGGCTCAGGTCATGATCTCACTGTCTGTGAGTTTGAGCCCCGTGTCGGGCTCTGTGCTGACAGCTCAGAGCCTGGAAGCTGCTTCTGATTCTGTGTCTCCCTCTCTCTCTACCCCTTCCCTGCTTGCTCTCTCTCTCTCTCTCTCTCTCTCTCTCAAAAATAATAAAAAAACATTAAAAAATTAATAATACAAATGCAATTTATTTTACTGTTTACTCTCTCATGTCAGAGTGATCAGCTAGTAAAACAAAAATTATAGATAAGTACTTAAAAAAAATGTTTCTGTCCCATCCATATGAAATTTAAACTTTTTTCAAATGTAATTTACTAATAATATACTCTGTGCCTGAATCACATAATTACGTCCTCTGCCCACTTACCCATAAATATGTTTGAATTGGTAATGTTCATAAATATGTTTGCATAAATTTTCATATGGTTGAAGATGATAACAGTTTCCCATTTGTGGTGAATATTCTTTTGTTTTTTTGTTACTTTGTTGTTTAGAAGTTTAAAATTTTTTGTAACTACATTTGACCATTTTATTTCACTTCTCATTTCTTTTCTTGCTTCAATTATAAGAAGGTTATCACCTTAAAGTTAATTAAGGGACTAAAACCCCTAATTTTCCCTGAGGATTCCATTCCCCACCATCCTTGAGATCTTACACTGACATTCTCTGGGCCTGGGAGTCCACGTCCCATAACTCTTCAATATATTATTTTCACAAAGGTTGAACACTTGTGTTATGACTCTATTTTTTAAATTTAATTAAAAATTTTAAATTGAATTTTATTTTTTTTTTAAATTCTCAAGTTAGTTAACATACAGTGTAGTCTTGGCTTCAGGAGTAGAACCCAGTGATTCAGCTCTTATATATGACACCCAGTGCTCGTCCCGAAAAGTGCCCTCCTTAATGCCTGTCACCCATTTAACCCATCTCCTACCCCCATCAACTCTCAGTTTGTTCTTTGTATTTAAGAGTTCTTTATGGTTTGCCTTCCTCTCTGTTTTTATTTTATTTTTCCTATGACTTTAACAGAGCAGTTACCTACAGAGTCCATTGTTCACCTGTTTATCCTGGATTTAGAACTATTTCTTATGTTTGCTGATGTCTGAGAGGCTATGGCTTACTCCATTTATACCCAGGTTGGTATACACATTCACTCGTTTCTTCATTCATTTACACATTTATTTATTTATTCACTTTGTTATTTGTGGCATACAGATTCATATGTAGCCCTCAGTGAGCCCTGCTTTCTGGTGTTTACCCATGTGTGTGGGCAGGACATATGACTTGCTTCTAACCAACAGAATATAGTAAAGGTGACGAAATGTCCCCTCTGTGATTGATTACATAATAAAGACTCTATCTTGTTGGAAGACTCAATCTAGAGAGTGTCCTTGCTGGCTTGATGAGATAAGCGGCCATGTTGGGGAAAACCCCATGGTGAGAAACTGTGGACAGTTTCCAGACAACAGCCAGGAAGAAGCTGGGATCCTTGATCTTAGAGCTGCCAGGAAATGAATTCTGCCAAGAATGTGAGTGAACTTGGAAGGTATTTCTTCCCCAGTTGAGCCTCCCGATGGGAACACAGTCCAGATGATACCTTGCTTGCAGTCTTGTGAGACTGTAAGTAGAGGGACCATCTAAGCCATGCCTTCACCTGTAGAAACTGTGAAATGATAAGTGGCTATTGTTTTTAGCTACTAAGTATGTGTTAATTTGTTGTGCAGCTATAGAAAATGAATACACTATGCTGTGCTAACTACCATATAGGCCTTCTCTCAGTACCTGAAGTAGCCTCATGAGCCTGACACTAATATTATTCCCATTTTACAGATGAAGAAACTGAGCCTCAGGAACTGAACTGCAGAATGTCCTGCTCTCAACCACTGAACTATCATGCTATGTTTCATTTTTAATGTATTTCATTATTTCACAAATTCAAGTTTATCACGGTTTAAAACTTATCTCCTGAACATGCCAACTGTATTTACAAAAAGCCCTACTAGGCACACCTAGTACACAAAATACATGTTTTTATAAATGCAACATTACAAGGAACTTTTCTTTTGTGCTACATTTTTACCATGTATCTCACAGAAATAATATTAGATTCATGAATAGAAAAGTTTCTATTTTCTGTTAAAGTAGTGATAGACTGTATCACTAAAATAGTGATAGACTGTACACTATTTAGAAGGGAGAATAATTATGGCTGATAGAAGCCCCAGATTCATGGGAATTGATTTGGAGTTATAACAGTCAAGTAAACATCCATTAGAATGTGCTGGATCTTACTGCAGGACAAAAACGTTTCATCTTGGGTCCTAACTTTCCCATTTATGTTCAGGTATAGGGAAACATTAGGAAGTGGGGAGATTGAGAAATACTTAAAAGAAAAACAACAACAACTAAAGTCCTATTTGGATCAGTGCTCTGAGAATCTGAGATAGGATTATGACCCCACTACTCTGTCTTCTAATGACAGCTCTTTCTATTCTGCATTTATCAGATGTTAATTATTCATACTGCATGATTGATGATTTTGGAGTCAGAGATTCACCTGCAATATTTGGAATACTGGTGGAGGCCTACATCAACACAGAATTTATAAAGCAGCTGGTGCTAGTCAAAGCTAATGATGGAATTTCAGTTTAATAAAAAGACCCCCAACTGAGCACACCATCTTGAAAAAAGTATACTTATCAAACGGCTTTCAATCAGTTCAAGAGAGACACCTTAATTGGGAAGAGGAAAATTTGCAGAGCAGTTTGTCATTGTGCCAATTCTAGATCAATAACTGCATGTCTGCTCTTTGGGAGACATAGCTTTTGCTTTATATTGAGTAACCACATTGACTTCCTCTCCACTTGGGTACACTCTGTTTCATTTGATAATGTTAAAGGATATCTTCTTTTAATTCACCTCTGTGTCTTCATAATAAACATGAGCAAATGTAGACTTGTGATTATGAAGGTCAACTTTTTAAATTTTTAAAATAAATTTTATATTTTTGCCACAAGAAGGCAATGCTTATAGAATTTTGATATTTTCAAAATTGTTTTATTGGAAAAAATCACATGGGTAGAATTAAATTATGGTGGTTTAAGTAAAAGAAGAATATGATGAGCAATGATGATTTGGATTCATATAAAATTATTCTGGAGAATACTGTACAGAATCATCTACTAATTAGAAACAAAAATAGGGACACCTGGGTGACTCAGTCAGGCATCCAACTCTTGATTTTGGCTCAGGTCATGATCTCACGGTTTGTGAGCCCCACACTGGGCTTCCCACTGACAGCACAGAGCCTGCTTGGTATTCTCTCTCTCCCCTCCCCTGCTTGTGCTCTCCCTCCCTTTCTCTCTCTCAAAATAAACTTTTAAAAAAGAAACAAAAATAAAACGGGTTTACCTTTGGAAGAAAGGATTTGGAACACTGAAGAATGTAACTCAGTCATCAAGTCTTAGTTTCCTTATTTGTTAAAAGGAGATACTCATTCAAACTGATGGCTTTCAAATTGGTCTAGGTGGTACATTAGAGGGCATTATGGAGCAGGCAGGGCAGGAGGGGGCAGAGAAGGTGATGGCCCAATGTGAAGATCAAGGCAAAGCTTGAGAAGGGAGGGCTCTAGTTCCCTTTTTCACTTAAACCAAGGCAAATCTTTGTTTTCCTTCCTTTTCTTTCTCTTCCTTCCTTCCTTCTTTCCTTCCTTCCTTCTCTCCTCCCTCCCTTTTTCTTTTTCCCTTCCTTCTTCTTTTGTTTTTTTTTTTCTCTCCCTCTCCCTCTTCTGCTTCCTTCCTTCTTTTCCTCCCTCCTTCCAAAGTTTATACATATTTATATCAATATAAATTAACAAACAGAAATAGCAAGTTTCTGTATAATAGTTCTTTTTGAAAAATAGGGTTCTACTGATAAAATATAACTTGAAAATCATTGAGCTAGACAATTCTAAGTCCTCTTCCTTCTGTGAATTTCTTCCTTCTAATAATTCTTCAATTACTTCTGGGATTTCAAGATCCAGAAATCAAACAGCAAGGGAGATTGAAGATATTTTAGAAGACACAACAGATACCTATTTTGCACAAACTATAATTCTACTAAAAGCTATGGGTGAAGTGGCATCTTACAGACCCCTACAGAGATATGGGATTATGACTAACAGGTCTAAGTTTTTTTTATTTTTATTTTTTTGAGTTAACTACATAGAACAGGGCTGTGGTCTTTTAAGCATTTAATCTACTAGATGATGTTCAGGTAGAGTGACGGAATTATGGCCTAATTAAAAAAAAACAAACAAAAGTTTCTTACATTTAGAGAATCATATGCAGTAAGAGTCAGTGGGAGACTCTGAGATCATTTCTCTCATTTTATACATTCACTTAACCATTAAATTAATACCTTTTTTATTGAATTTGAGTGTGTGTCGGCCAGTGTGTTAGGTGTTGAGGTTATAGTATATTGTCCCTGTCCGCAGAGGAATTATGTTTTAGTGGAGGAAACAGCAATGAAACCCACAATCATACACATAAGAATATAATTACATATATTTATGAGCATTATTAAGTAGAAGAGCAGGATCCTCTGAGATCACGTGTTAGAGAGTACAGGACAACACTAGACTGTAGAGAGTGACAGTGACTTGCACTGAGCTGAGCACTGCAGAGCTGGCACTAGACTCAATCTCTTGTTCTCTGTCTCACCGGCTTGACTGAGAAAGTTTAGGTTAGGTGATGGAAATCCAAAATCCATGAGCTCCTTTCCTGGCTTCTCTGTTACTCTGAATTGTTGGGCAGCCTTGAGAGACACCTGAATATCTGCACTAAGAATGGAATTGTCTTCTTTGGTGAAGATCTCCCTGCTTATAGTGTGGTTGACTAGAGGCTGAAAAGGATTTGCAGAGGTAACAAAGTCTATGATTAAAGAAAAGAAATTACTTAGTACCTATAGAAAGACTACTAATTATTAAAACTTCCAGGCTGCATCCAAATTCAACAGCTTTTGGGAGTCTGCTTTGTTGTGAAATGAGTGGTTTTGTTCCTATCGAAGGTCCATCAAAATGGACACCAATTTCCATTACAAACTTAAAAAAAAAGTTTTTGTTTATTTTCGCTTCAAGTTTTAATTTAAATTCTAGTTAGTTAACATCAGTTAATATCAGTGTAATATCAGTTAAAGATTTTATTATTTTATTAAAAATTTTTTTAATGTTTATTTATTTTTAAGAGACAGAGAGAGAGACAGAGCCTAAGCAGGAGAGGGGCAGAGAGAGAGGGAGACAGAATCTGAAGCAGGCTCCAGGCTCTGAGCTGTCAGCACAGAGCCCAATGAGGGGCTTGAACCCATGGACCGCAAGATCATGACCTGAGCTGAAGTCGGACACTTAACCAACTGAGCTACCCAGACGCCCCTAAAGATTTTATTTTTAAATAATCTCTACACCCAACATAGGGCTCGAGCCCATGACCCTGAAGTATATGAGAATTGAAGTCGTTTATAATGTTCAATGGGACAAGTGATTGACTTCCCTCAATCTAAAGCCTATGTCATAGTCAAGTACAACTAGTTTGAGATGTTTTGTTTGTTTTTATATATTTTTATTATATTCAGCAATTATTCGCACATATACACTATATATAAATCTTTGCATTAATGAATAAATGGGATTATAGCATACATGTTGGGGTTTTTGGGTGCAAACTACTTTTTTTTTTCCTTTTGCAAACCTCCTCCCTCCTCTTCTGTTTTCCTGCCATCCCCAACCCCACCACAACCCATGCTATCAAACTAGCTTGTATCTTTGTACATTTTTTACCCATGCTTATATAATCCTATGCAAAAATATGTATGTATGTAGAAGGTATATGTATTCCCATACATGGGTTTTGGGGGCCCTATTGCTATTACTATTACCTAGAAATCATAGTAAATACCCTTTCAGATCATATTATATACCCTTTGCCCTACATTTGTCTTTCTCGCTAGGAAATACCTCAGGAGAAGGTCTCCAAGTCAACTGGCATAGTTCCACTTCATTTTCTACTACTTCTGTGGTGTAGATGTACCACGGATTGTTTCATTTGCAGTTTTCTGCTGTACTGAACAATGCTGGGATTAACTCCCTGGGTCATTTGTCCTTGGGTCCTGGGGCTCTTACTTTGATAGGATAGCTTTCTAGAAACGAGAATTCTGAGCCAAAGGGTGTGGCTATTTAATTTTAATAAATGCTGCCAGGTTGTTTTTCCAAAAAACATTCTAACAATTCTCCTTTCCACCAGGAATGACAGCGTCATTTGTCCCTGCATCCATACCAAAATGGATATTACTCTTTTTTATTTTTGCCAGACTAATGGGCTTAAACTCGTTACTTTATTTTCCATTTCACTAACTACTAGTAATTTAAATCTTTTCATGAATTTGTAGGTTATCTGATTTTGTTCCTCTGCAAGTTGGCTATTTTCTTTTTATTTGGGCTGTACATTGGAAGAACTCGTTGCATAATGATCTTATATCTTTCATTTGTGTCAAAACTTTTTCTAAATTTCTCATTTGCCTATTTTTGTTCTCATTTGAAATACATATTTTAATATACCTGAAAGTGCCTATCTTCTCTCTTACAGCTTCTAGGTTTATTGTCTTAGTTATGAACAATGTCCCCAAACATGTACATTCTTACAACATTTTTATTGTTAGGTTTTATTTTAATTTTTTTAATGTTTATTTTTGAGAAAGAGAGAGAGTAACAGAGCATGAGCGGGGGAGAGGCAGAGAGAGAGGGAGACACAGAATCCAAAGCAGGCTCCGATCCCATGAACCGCGAGATCATGACCTGAACTGAAGTCCAGAGCTCAAGTGACTGAGCCATCCGGGTGCCCCTGTTTGTATGCTTAAGATTTTAACCCATCTAAAGTCATTTCTGTAAGGGGGTTCAACTTAATTTTTCTACACAATTTAAAAATAATCCACCCTTTTGCACTGAACTGGTCTATCACCTTCATCATATATTAAATTCTCATATATTTCAGGATCTATTTCTGGATTCTGTATCCTTTCTACTGGTTTATCTATTCTTATGCAAATATCTGATTTGTTTTTAGTGCCTTTATGAGATTGTCTGATATTTGATTATGGATGTTATGCCTAACTATTCTTCTTTTCTTTCTATTTAAAACATGATTGGATTGGGGTGCATGGGTGGCTTAGTTGGTTGAGTGTCCGACTCTTGATTTCAGCTCTGGTCGTGATCCCAGGGTTGTGAGATGGAGCCCGGCTAAGATTTTCTCTCCCCTTGTGCCCCTCTCCCCTGCGTGTTCTCTCTTTCTAAACTAAAAAATATAACATACAATTGGGTTATCTTTTGCACTGTTGGTGGATAAGCAAACTGGTGCAGCCACTCTGGAAAACAGTATGGAGGTTCCTCAAAAAGTTAAAAATAGAACTACCCTATGACCCAGCAATTGTACTACTAGATTTTTACCCAAAGAATACAAAAACACTAATTCAAAAAGATATATGCATCCCTATGTTTATTGCATCATTATTTACAATAGCCAAATTATGGAAGCAGCCCAAGTGTCCATTGATAGATGAATGGATAAAGATGTGGTGTATATATACAAAGGAATATTACCTAGTCATAAAAAAGAATTACATCTCATCATTTGCAACAACATGGATGGAGCTAGAGCGTATAATGCTAAGTGAAATAAGTCAGTCAGACGAAGACAATACCCTATGATTTCACTCATATGTGGAATTTAAGAAACAAAACAAACAAGCAAAGGAAATAAAAAAGAGTAAGAGAAAGGCAAACCAAGAAACAGATTCTTCACTATAGAAAACAAACAGATGGTTACCAGAGGGGAGGTGGGCAGGGGCATGGGCAAAATAGGTGGAGGGGAATAAGAATACACTTGTCATGATGAGCACTGAGTGATGTGTGGAACTGTTGATCAC